CCTCATCGCAGGGGGCAAGCCCAGGGAGGCCTTGGGGGTGGGCCTAGGGGGGCCCAGGGGTAGGCCTAGGGGGGTAGGCCTAGGCCGAGGGGTAGAACCTAGGGTAGGCCTAGGGTAGGCCTTGGGGGTAGGCTTGGGGTGGACCGAGAGTAGGCCTAGGGGGTAGGCCAAGCTGGGGGCAGGCCTAGAGGGTAGACCTAGGGCGCAGGCCTAGGGGAAGGCCTAGGGTAGGCCAACCCTCCGGGTTCTATATTCAGGCCGCGAAGGCGCTGGCGTTGAACAGCCCAGAACCTTGGGGGCGGCCGCTGCCGCGCTCTCAAGAGAATTCTTTGGGGGCGGCCGGGGGCCAGGTCGCTCCCCCGACGCGCCCGAGGCAGCCTCGTCGGCCGTGCGCCTCACGGTGGGCACGAGGACTTCTTCTGAGCGGGTGATCTCCTTGTCCTTGGACCCTGGCGGCGTCTCCACCAGCGGAGGATATGATGCATCTGCAGCGGGGTTAGCCGACGACGGAGTTGGCTAGAGACTGGTGAGCCTGGTCGCACCCTTATTGCGCTTGTCGGAAATGGCGCGCGCACGTGAACATGCGATCGCCTGGCTGGCCCCCCTCTTGGACGAACCGGGGGGCTCCGAGGACGCGGCAGCGGCAGGCTCAGCACGCCAATCCTTCTCACATTCCAGCTCACCATCAGCGCCTCCGCGATCACTGCACTCGCCCCGCACCAGAACCGACCAAGCTGCTTGAGCTCATGGTCGAACGGGAGAGCGCTCCAGTCGCGGACGATGCCGTCGTAATCGGTGGTATCATACGGCACGCGTTGGCGCGTCTCGCGCGATGCCGTCGCCATGCAGTGGCGGCACGGCGCATGGCTCCGATTGGCGACCGGGTAACCTGCTGCCCCCGTCCGCGCGCGCAAGAGGCGGCACCACGAGCGGTGGCCGACGCGGCCCCGCTCGGTGTCTCGCCCTTCTGCGCGCTTGCGAATGCGGCGCCCCCCCGAAACCCGAGTGGCCTTGCCGGTGTCATCGCGCTCGAGGTTCTTCTCGGGGTGCCAATGGCGCACCGCCTCCTCGGTGCGCCCGCGTTCCAGCCAGTAGCCCAAGTCTTCCTAGGACAATGGTGGCGGGCGCCAGGCTGGCGGGCCACCCCCGGTCGCGCGGCGCCCCAACTGGGCCGCGCGCGCGAGCGCGCGGGGCGCGAAAGGCCACGCGCGAACCAACGCTGGAACGACCCTATCCAACGCCCATCATTTCATTACCTGCCATGTCGACGATAACTCCAGCGCGCTGCCTCAGCGCGCCCCAGGCATTGCATTGGCGGTGGGCGCAATAAGCGCGCCCCCAAGCGCGTCGATCGCAGTGTCCAAGTCAGTCGGCACATTCGCGGCCCCGCGCGGCTGGTCCTCTGGCGCAGGTAGTCCTGCGTCACTCGGCTCTTCAGCGGCGGCAGGAATCGCCTCCGCCTCCGAGACGTCGCCGTCGCAAGCACCCATCTCGTCCTCGAATCTGTTGATCGGGCAATCGATGCTGAGGTCCGCCAGAGCCTGGGCCGCGGCGTCGCGCAGGAACGCATTGCACGCGAGGAACGATGGCGATTGCGCCCCCGCAGAGAGAGGATCGAGCGCGGGAAAATCAACGCACTCAGCGCTTCCCGCGCCCCCTTGAACTGTCGCAATGGCAGCGGCATCACCCTTCCACTATCAATGCCGCGCCCATTGTATGCACCCTCTCCCCAGAGCGGTCCGCGGGGTTTAATCGCCCGCCCCCCCCCTCGCCAGCAGCGCGGCATCGGCCCCGACCTCTCCCCGAGGGGGCCCCCTCGCAGTCGGCGTTCGCAAAGGGCGCCATGGAAGCAGCAGGAGCGCGATCGCGCGGACGTCGTTTGCGGCGCCCACCCCTGCCGCGCCCCCTGCCCCGCCAGCGGGGGGGCCACCGACCGCCCCGCGGGCCCTTGGAGAAAAAACAACGGCCCCCATCGACGCTTCGCGAGGGCCCAAACAATGCAACTACTCAGCGGCCTCCGCGTCTCCGGGCCCGCTGGGCACGCGTCGCGCCTGAGGGCTCGGCCCCGCCCGAAGACGCCGCCTCCGCTGGAGACTGAGACCCAGAGGGCGGTCTGACTGTCGGGCGCAGCGCAGGGGGCTGGGTCGGCAGGCGGCCCCGGGCCAAGGCGCGACGATGACGCTGCCTGACCTGCGCCAGAGCAGATGTTCATGAGCGCGGCCGCGTCTCTGCCAGCGGTGGGCATGCGCGCATTCGCATCCCCACGCCCATGGCCTCCCAGACATGCATGACCAACGTTGCCGGGCGCGCGCTCGGCTAACCGAAGCTGCGCGCGCGGCCCAGGAGCTCATCACGCTGCCGCTACGTTCGTGGCAGTGGGCCATTCAATAATTGAAGTAGCCGAGCACCTCTGCCAGAGCCGAACTGCAACGCTCTGAAGAGCACTGTGGTGAGCAACGAAAAGTCGGGATGGCGAAACCTACAAAGTCGGCTTCAAGACGGGCGATCTCGAACCACGCGAGGATTGAATCCGCTCACTCACCGTTTCGGGCCTGAAGTCGACAAGCGCCGTTCCTGAGGCGAGCTAGCGCTTGTCCTCCATGCTCCCAAACTCGGCCCTACAGAGGAACAGAGGGCACGGGGAAAGGCCCTTGATAACCCCTTGTGTAGTCACGCCGCAATTGATTTTCTGCGGCGGGGCCCGCATCCCGATAATGCGAGCTACCTCACCAAATCCAAGCTGCAGGCGTGCAGACTGTTGTTGTGGTGTCAGTCGGGCGCTGGTGGCATTAAGCCACGCATGAACTTCTCGAGTGAACTCGAGAAGTGGTACGTTCTCCGCGTGGTGTCCCAGCGAGGGCCCCTGGTGGTGTTACCACTAGGTACTGCTTACATATTGGAACGTAGCTGGTGTTGGGATTTGTCTTTGGTACATCTGTCGCTGTGAGTCGGCGAATAGGCTGTGAAGACATGTCCCCATGCTGGTTTAAAGATAGCGGTGAAACGCATCTGCGCCAAGATTACTGATTGAACGATCCACTCCCGAACGCATCGTAAGTCGGAGTGTAGTGGCGTGGAGCCGTGGCGTTTACGCTGCTGGTGGTAGTCTAACGGGTGTCACAGGTAGGGGAAATAACGTTCCCGCTATTGGCGTCTCCGCCTGCTAGCCAGTAGTCACGCCCTGACGTCGCAGTGGTACTAGCGGCATACCATGCCGCGCCGTGGAGTAGGAGCGCGATAGACACAGCTGACCACACGCGAATGAGGCCGGCTCCGCTCCCAAGCAAAAAGTGTGGTAGACATCGTGATCTGTGAAAGCGGTGGTAGACGTTAATTGTAAGAGGCGACTTCCAATAATTACACCCTTTCCCGATGCAATAGCGGATCGATAGCAGCGCTTGCGATCTGGGCAAGTAGAGCGCTGGCCGCTTGAACACTAAACGGCGGCGCGGGCGCTCGCTACGCCAGCTTACATTTTACCGAACCCTGTGACCCACGTTCAAAGCAAGTCAGCCCCAAGACGGCCCAAATGGGCTCCACGGCAGCTCTGAATATATGAAAGACGAAAGGTGCCAGCCATGTGTCCGCCGACCCCAGAAAGCGGGGTGAAAAAACATGACAGGCATTTGGCTGTATCCCTCTCTTTTTCCCCCTCCCCCAAGGTCCTAAATCCGAGTAGAGATGGGGGGGTCTCCGGGCTCCCCAACTGCCTGGGGTCACCAGAGCCTTGGAAGAGCCTCCAGACAGCCCAGGAGGGTCCACTCAGAGCGCAAGACAATCCCAGAGAGCGTCGAGACGGCACAAAATAGCCCCACGACGGTTCAAAATGGCTGCGAGACGGCCCACGATGCCCCCAGACCAGTCCAACAGTGCTTCCAGAGAACTGCGCAGAGATGGCCAATAAGCAAAAATTGCCGCATCACCTTGACCAAAACGTATATTTTCAGCATGCTCGTCTTTTCCGCTTTAGCAGCGTCCAAAACGGCCAAAAGATCCCCCTAAGACCGTCCCAAGACGAGCCTTGAGGCCCCCAAGAGGGCCCCAAGAGTACTCATGGCCCGAAGACGGCCCCAAAGGCCCCCAAGACGGCCACAGAGATGCACTCTTGGGCCCCAAGAGGGGCCCAAGGGTGCGAAAACGGTCTGATAATTCGAGCCTTCCCACCCCCCACGAGGCACCCAAGAAGCTCTAAAAAGCCCACAATGAGCCCTCCAAGATGCTCCTGAGAAGCACCCCAAGAGCCCCTCATTTGAATCCACGAGCGTCTTGCACCACTTCTTTCCTTCCACGAACGCTGCAAGCCCTCACTCCATCTCCACGCGCTGTGGACGCCCCCCTGTGGCCGTCACGAGATCCCGACAACGCCCCGAAGCAGTTCCCAGAACGCTTTACGATTGCCTCCCACAGCCTTCCCTGAGCCTTGCCCACCCCACAGACTCCCACAAGCGTATGCGGAAACCGCCTTCTCATATTTGCAAGGGTAAGACCGCGCGCGACATGCTCGTCCCCAACATTCTCCATTGATCTCTACTCTCCCAAAGAACCGAATCCTGTTCGAGAAACGGACGACGAATTTGACATCGTGTCTTCCAGGCCAGCATATCCTTCCGACATAGGCCGCCTGGCTCCGAAGTCCCCAAGAGAGCCGACAAGGTATGCAGGCCCCAATGCTCCGAATGAGCCAATTGAATGACGACCTCACTCTGTCTCCTCCTCCTCCTCGTGCTCTTCCTCCTCCTGCTCCTACTCATCTTACGCCATCATCATCCCAAGCTTGGGGACACGGGGTGTCACACGTGACGGCCTCCCGTGCGCCCTCGAACCGTCGCCGCCCAGAATGCTGGGCTGACAAGGTGGCGTGACTTGCATGTGGGTGGGCACGCGAAGACCAAGCATGACAAAATCAAAGGCGGTGCTCAAACGCGAACCGGGAATCCGAAAGCTCGCGAAGACTACGCCATCGTGTGCGCAAGATGAGAATTCCATGTGTCGCCCATCTCCTCCCAGCTGTCTAGAACCACGATAGGCCACCCAAGCTGCACCCAATCGTCGAACGTGGTCTTTCCATTGAGCTCGGCGTCCCGGACCATGATGGGGACAGTGAGCAACAGAAGCGCCTGGACAGGCGGGCGCCTCAACACCGACAATACCAGAACTAACACTGCGCGTGGCGAATTGTGTTGACAATGCACTCGCACTTGAATTGGGCTCTTCGGGCCGGGCAGCAGAGAGAGCGAATCACCGCCCGTCATCACGGATATAATGAGGCCATGTGGTGGAAATCTTGGGGCCTTTCCTGAAATGTTTCCTGAAACCGCTGGGGCGCCTGAACACCCGAGCCAGTTTAGGACCCCTGGAAACTCAGACACCCCAGGTGGCACCTAAACGATGCCACCTGTCTTTAGGTATGCACTTTCTCGGTCAGCACGCACCAAGAAAAAAAGGCTCGTAAGGTAGTCACAGGAAAGCGTTGGGCCCTCGTGTGTCAGTTAAACCAGAGTCAACAACACATGCACTTTGTATAGTGACGACGGCTCTCGACGACACTAAAACCCCTGCGCTGCACTGCACGACTCTCTCGCGAAGACAACATTTTCTGGACTCGGGAATGGGGGGTCACGGCAAAATCGCAGAGGCGCCTCACCAACCACGTCGGGAACCCACCTCGCAACGCGTGGCCGATACGCAGCCAGCGAGACGACGACGGTGACGACAACGAGGGCGAGGACGACAACGACAACGACTACCACGACGATCGCGAGGATGTCGAGGACGAGGACGACGCCGAGGAAGGAGGATAAGGACGGGGACGAGAACGAGGATGAGAAGATCCAGAAGCGCGGAGCTCAGGCCGAAGAGACCCCCCAGGCTGCGAGCGGCGCCCGTGCCGAGGCTGAGGAGCGAGCGCAAGCACGGGGGCGTATCCCGAACCCTTTGCGTGGGCCCATCCGTCGCCTCCTCCTCCCTTATCCTCTACCTCCTCTCTGCGCCTCCCTCCTCGCAGGCGACGCGCGGCGCGGCAGTGTAGCAGCGAGTGCCCCCCGCGTGCGGCCGACGTCCACCCGTGCGAGTACAGCTGGTACCCTCGGGAGAGAACGTCGAGCGGCTGACGATTTCCGTTTCGAGCCGTCTAGGTGTCACACGTCGCCAAGTTTTTTTGCTGTTCAGGTCAGAGCGCGGCTTGTGCCGCCCCTCCCCCCGCCGCCCGCCAGGTACGCGTGCCTCCGCCCGTGAGGAGGAGGATCAGAGGAGAGCAGAGGGCAGCTGGATGAGTTCAGACATCCTGCCTGTCCCACTGTGCGCGCCTGCCCTTGTTGTGTACAGCCTTGATTGAACTGGCGTGGCGATCAGGGCCGCGTCGCCAGCACCGGTCCAGGACCGCCCCGCATTTCTGTGCCGCTGCCGCTGACCTGACAACAGTTGAAAGTTTTACTGTGCACTGACCTTTAACCTGAGGTGCCCGTGCAGAGTTTTCAAAGCTCGACGTTTAGCACAGCTGCTGACTGTAATGAATTATCTCTGCAAGCTGCGTGCATGCAATAGCTGACAGGCTATGTGCTTCAACAGTGTCGCAATCCAAACAGTCTCCCTCTTTTCTCATCCTCCTTACTTTTCTCTTCATTCCTCCACCTCCTCCTCCTTTTCAACCTCCTCCACTTCTCCCCCCCCCTCCCCCGGCTCATCCTCATCCTCCCCTTCCTAGTTCCAGCCACACCTTTGCGCCGAGAGCGTGGCATCACATAGCTGGCCGACAAGCCTCGTCCGTCTTCGGCGACAAGATCCCGCCCCCATTGGGCGCGAGGAGGAAGCGGTACCTCGGCGAGCCGGTCGGCCGAAGCTCTCTCCAAGGCCGACGAGGCAGACGAATGCTGGAGCGCTGCAGACCTCCGAAGGAGAGCAGGCTCTTCAACGAAACTCACACGTGCCACTGGCGAGCACGCTGCTGTTCCCCTCCAGTATCTGAGGACACGAATCCGCCAACCCTGTCGGCGTGTGGGAGAAGCTTTTCCGTCTTCCCCACAGCGTCGTCGCCTCTTCTGCTGTCCGAGGGCTCCCTACACAAAAGTCCACGCCAAGATTGAACAACGTCGTAGTTCAGTCGAAGGGAAGCCCCTTCCTTTGATCCCTTCCCCACCGGGGGGGGGGGTCCCCCCTCACTCCCGGGAGGGGGTCCCCCCTCGCTCCAGAGGGGGGGGGTCCCCCCTCGGACACGCAGCCCCCCGCCTCTCTCCTGCGTCCTGGGGTTCCGTTGGCCCTCTGGGGCCGTCTGCGGGCCCTTTCAGCCTTGAGGCTCCTTGGAGACCTTTCGCCATTTTCAGACTCTCTTGGCAGCCTCTGGCGGCACTCTTGACAGCCTCTGTGGGCGCTTTTGGACCTCGCTTGACGCCGTCTTGGAATCCTCTCGGGCCACTTGAGGGCGCTCTTTGTCCATCTTGGCACTCTCTGGAGCCGTTCCCGAACCCTGGAGGAGGCCTCTTGAGCTGTCTTCGGACGACCTTGCAGGCATCTGGCGCAGTCTTCGAGCCATCTGAGGGCATCTTGGACTCCTCCACCTCCATTGTCTTCGTCATCGCTGCCTACAGAGTCGGCGGCATCGGCCGTAAGGCCTTCGCAATATTCCAATCACACCGCTTGCAACTGCAGTAAGGCCATCCGCCTCGCTGGTGCCAACCGAGCGGCGTTTCGACGCGACCTGCGATGGGAAATATTGGGAACAGCCACGTACAGGCGGGCGACGACGGCCTCAAGGTTCAAAGGCGGCTGCGCTCGCGGCTGCACCTGGGAGCGGCCACGCGGTGCGAAGTTCAATCGAGACGAGCAAACGAAACATCCCATGCGTGAGATGCCACGCAACCCGCTCCGCCGCGCGCGGACTAACTAGCCTGTCTGAGCGGCGTGAGCGCCCGAAAAGGCCCGCAAACCCAGGCCGTGGGCTGGAATCGGGCCTGGCTGGCCCCCGCTCGGTGGGACTGGCCCTGGCCGCGGAGCAGCTGCAGCTGGCCAGCGGCGGACCCCGCCTGCGTCACCGCCGAGATCGGGCCGCGGCGGACCGCCGTCCAGCCCACAGCGCAGCCGCGGGGAGGGCACTTCGCAAGCTCGTCCCAATACTGGTTCCACTCGATCATGCGGTGCTCCACGCCTGCCTCCCCGGCGTCGGTCGTCTGCAGCCACGCCTTCAGGGCGCGCCTCTGGAAGCAGCGAGGGGGGGTGGAGGGGGGTAGATAAGGATCCCCTATCTACGCATAGGCCTATGGTAGGCCCATGCACAGCCTACGCATAAGCCTACCATAAATTTATATTGAGCCTACCATCGGTCGATGGTAGACTTCAGGGTACACTATAGGTAGACCTACCATAAGCCTGCGCATAGCCTATGCTTACGTCTATAGCGACCCATGGTAGGCAATGCACAGGCTATAGCCAGAATCCTCGATTGGGAGGGGAGGGGCAAGCTGGCCAGCCAAGCCACGTCTGGCTGGCCCCTCAGTCTGGCCGGCCAGCTTGGGCCATTCCCTCGACTGGCCCGGCTCACCAACCCAGCACGACTGGCTGGACCAGCCTGTTGGAGTGCGGGGCGCGCAGTCGTTCCCCGCCTGGGGGGGGGGGCGGGCTCCCTGGGGAAAGGGGGAACGCTGGCCCTGCTCGCGCGCTTTTGGTCCGCAATTGGTAGCAGGCTGGACGGTGAGGCGCCGGCCGACAGGCGCACGTTCGACTCGGGAGAGTGGCAAGCAGACTGTAGAAGGAGTGCAGAAGGGATGGAGGATACAGGGAAAGGATAGACGTCGGTCAGAAGGGGGTGAAATCATTCATGAGGAAAGCGGTTGAAGTAGATTGGGTGCCGGTCTGCACCAAAATCCGAGAACCTTCGATCATTGAAGTAGGATGAATTAAAACCGTTCTGAAATACCCCGGGGTTCCATCCGACACGGTCTCCCTTCGCTAACAAGAAATGCTGCGGTGCTCCTCCTAGAGCCTTTGAGCTCGCCCGAATCAATAATACCCTACATTGACTTCGACAGGTTGCAATACGCTCCAACGCCGTACTCTTGACTCCTACTTATGAACTTATCAAAGCTCCCGAGGTCTTTGATGGCAATGAATATGCTGATGAAGAAAGAAAATATCACTCTCACAGCGCGCTCTGTCTGACTCAAGGGCCCTGCCGCAATCCAGGGCCAAAACGGTTGCGGGCTCGTGCTATACAACGCACACGCACGAACATGCACACTAGATGTACAGCGTATATCTCACACCCGTGAAAGAGTGAAAACAAATTAAACAGAGAGAAGCCATCCTTCAATCTGAAATATAGCAAATCCAGATAAATATACCTAAGATTGCATGAACAAAAAAACATACTAAACTGCATTATAATGCGTGAGGAAGTGTAACTAACTCAACGCTACAATGAACAATACCGGAATATCGCGCTCTCTGTAGGTCAATCTTGAAAACTACAGCCATAAACTGTCGGGCGACATGCAAATCAAAAACCGCAACGAAGAAATAATACATATCAGCTGTGAGCCTCACTTGTGAGCTCGAAATCCTTCCGCCAACTCTGGCTCGGTCGTCACCTCGCCCGGTTTGCGAAAACCCTGCGTCTGATGCTGAAACCTCTAGACGTCTCCGCTGAGCTAGTATGTCGTCATACTCTGCTCTCCCACCGTTCTGGCCGCGCACAGATCGTTCGACGAGCCGCCGCGCTCGTCTCTTGGTGCTTCCTTCGGCTCGCTCTCCTCCTCGATCCGCTCCTTCTCGGCCTTCGCCCGTAGGACCGCCAGCTCCGTCTTGCATGTGTACTCAGCCTCCTTTATCTTGATCAGGTAGGATGCAACAGGGCAAGCTCCACGCAACCCAAGAAGTAGGAAAAAACATGGCAAACCAGATGACGATACCAGGGCCGTCGTTCTCGCCCTTCGCGTCGTAGCCTGAGCGGGCCGCCGATCTGCAACGGCAAATTGCGAACGCCGCCAGCTGCATGAATGGCGTCGTTGCCTTCCGCGTCGCCGCCGATGTGACCGGCCTCGTCTGATCTATGCTCTCCTGTCGCTCTTCCTTGGTCTTCTTCTTCGCCGCCGTGCAATTCGGGTCGCGCTTGAGCTGTAGCCCCCCATATCGCAGACGGTCGGCGAGGAGCTGTCTCGCCGCGATCTTCGCGAGCCCGTCCGCGCACTGCCTCTCTGAAGATACCCACCTCCAGCGTGTCATTGTAGCCTCCATCCTCTCACGTAGCGCTAGCGCCTCGATGCCGGTCCGCTTGTCCTGGAAGCTAGCGACGCCCTCCTTCCGGGCCGCGTCGTAGAGCGCCTTCGCGTCCACAACTAATGCCGACTCACCCGCCATGCGAGTGCATTCGTCCTTCGTGACGCCCGCGCCGTCGTAGATCATGGCTGCCCAGAATCGCTTCGCAAACTCCAAGCCGCCCATGCCCGCTGCTGCTGCCTGCGACGCCGCATGTAGAGAGGAACGTGCCATGCGCAGTAGCTTGAAGGACTTCCAATAGATCACGCTGAAGTCGGACTCGCGTTCGTCGAATACCTTCTTGTGGCATGCCAAAATGACGTAGCCACCTTGGCTGGGCCCGTCTTGTCGAACTCCCCAGGCTGCGTCCGTCATTGCCACGAACATTATGTCGCACACCTGGCCCATCTTCTTCATCTTGAGCCCGACGTCCGAGTTCTGC